ACCTGTCAGGCATCCATCCTTCCGATCCGACTCCGATCATACAGTCGGACAAGTTTCTGAGAGGAGAATGGTACTCCACTTCAAACAACGTAGTTTATGTCTTTTCCACACGTGCCCATTTCTACTCTCTAGTCGACTCCGATCCTGCATCCGATCATGGTCCGATCGTGCAATCTATTCGTTTTCCAGCTGCGGTAACACGTGTCGCTTGGTGCTTGCGTAAGTTTTTTGGGGTATCTGCTAAAATTGGAAAAATTACGGTTATGAGGGAAAAGTGTGAAAAATTTTCCTGCAGATCTTCTTTCTCAAGCAGCATGTACTGAAAATCTGCGTTTTACGCTGTTCTCCATAAAAGATCTCTGATTTTCTTTACCTTATCCTTCTAAACAAAGCACCACCCTTGACTGAATCGCAGTTGCTGAAATGTGAATGTCTGAACATTTTGCACACAGAACCTTTCTAAGATTTTGTTTGAATCAAGAATGGTGAAAGGCGAGTGTAAAAATCTGGAGCCGGAAATCGGAAAGAAGCCGGAAATGAGTATGAAATGTGTGCTCACCCCTTTCCGATCCCGCACCGATTCGTGGGGCAACATGGGACTGGAGTCGGATCGCAGGGGTGTATGACAAGTGTGTCCCGGCCTTAAATCGGGATGGATGGTCACTTTACGATTGCTCGATCTTCTGCTCTGTAGCTGCGTCATGGTGTTGTCTACTAAATCCATCAACAGTTTAGAACTCGGCTAGGCTACACCAAGGATATTACACACTTCTTCAGGATTGCTCATCGGCCTCGATTTTTGGAATCAAGTTCATATGGTGTTGCACCGTTGTGACGTCATCAACGGTATCGTTAGCGGTTTCCGCCAGCGATCGTAGTTAAGAATATACATTTATGATGAAAAATATTATTTAATTTCAATTAATATAATAGGCAAAGAGGAAGATGCAAATGAGATCGAAACAAGGGTTGTTTTGGAATGTTAAATATTGTACTTGAACCAAAAATGCATAAAGCAAAAATCAGCGCAATCATAACCTGTAGTGCAAACACCCTACGTTAAGACGAGAACCGAGACGCTTCCAGGTCATCACTTATACTTTGGCGTGGTGGGGGGCTTGAGATTTTTATTTATTTTTATAATAATGATATTTAATATTTATCTAAGTGTTTTCGAAAGGCAATAAAACACCACATGCAGTTTGTATTTTTCAACTTTCCCGTCATAATACGGCCACCAGTAAACCTCATAAGAATATATGCATGAAGTCATTGATGCCGCACGGGTAAAGTTGAAAAATACAATACAATACAACAATTTATTATCCGTTAAACCCGAAATTATTGGTCTGAACCGAATCGAAATATTTCTCTTAGAACCGGAACCGTAACGGAAACTTTACCTGTCATGTGTGTGGACCTGAACCGGAAAGGAACGGAACCGATATTTCTTTTCGGTCTAGGGCTGGGATCACAACAAGTAGAATTCCACTTTCATGACGTCACCCGTGATCTATTTATCGGATACAAGGCGAGTTCGGTTTATCCTCCGAGAGCAAAAAGAGGACCAGCCCCACGTGATCAGTTTTATTGCTTTAAATGGAAGATCACGTGAGCTTCTGTCAACACTGTCATCTTTTACCTCGCGGAGGATTAACCGAACTCGCCTACAGTAGGCAACTTGACGTCATGAATGTACAATTCTAGTTGAATTCTACTTGTCGTGATTCCAGCCCAGGCTTTGCCCTGGCACAGATCACCTAATACAGATGCGTAAGTACGTATACTTGCTGTCGACGATATTCTGTGACGAAGCCGGGCCGCCAGCGGCCCCACGCATAGATAAAGATCGCCCGCGTCAGGACAATTAACGTGGCCGAGTGCGTGAGCATGTTCCAGCCTGTGTGTTTACATATTTTTGCGGGTAGAAAAAAATATTTTTTTGTTGTTTGTGAACCAATTAAAGAAATAATATTATATTATTGAGCTTCCGCATTTATATAATAAATATGTTCAAAATACATTGATGTGGCATTGGTGCGGCCAGCCCTATGTCTATCAAATTAATCTTGAACCACGAATTCGCCGCTCTTTCGCATGTGTATGTAAGTAATCTGTGGCCCTGGGTTAGGATCACGGCGAGTCGAATTCTACTTTCATTACGTCACATGCGATCTATTTATCGCGTACAGTACAGGCGATGATGATGGTTGTCAGGCAACCTAACGTCATTAAAGTAGAATTCTACTTGTCGTGATCCTAGCCCTGGTAAGCATATCGTATACCAGCTAAGGGATTCTCAACTTTTCGGATCGGTATATTCCAAACGCTACGTCCTGTCCGGCATCCGCTCGGGAGTGAATTCGGTATCCAATCGATAGGTGCCAAGTGGACGGGATTCTTAATTTCTCCCGACTTGAATGTTCCCCTTTTTTGACTTTTTAGTTGGTAGCATTGCAAGTTGCAGATCGAATTCGAATGTTGGGGTTACGTATTTAATTTTCAAATCAATTATTTCGCATCAATAAAGCTCTATTTGCACAATTAATTGAGCTTTTGACGCCTCACATGTAATTTCATTGTGGAAGTCATTTAGCCAAACGAGAATGACTTCTAACTATAACACCACCCACTACTCAATACTATTTCAGGAGCACAATAACTTGTTCACATTCAACAATTAACACTCAAATCTCACAAATGGTGGCCCTGAACCAATTAGAGCTTGTCTTTTACCCATTCGGAACCTCGTATAGGCTACCGAGTAAAAATGACGCTACCGGTTCTTTAAAATCCCATATATCATATGGAAACCCTCGCCATTTTTTGCCCTACATCTTGCTACTTTTAAATATGAATATATAGAATTTAAATGGACATCCATCATGAAAAATTGAAAACAACGTATCCGATGACTATAATTAGGCACATCAAGTGCGTTGTTTTCAATTTTTTATGATGGATGTCCATTTAAATCCTATATAATCATATTTGAAAGTAGCGAAGAGGTTGGGCACAAAATGGCGGCGGGACCTCTAAAGTCGCCACTGTATGTATGTAAAAGTTGACTAGTGCGTCAACTCCTCCCCTTGATAGTACATCAATAAGGCGACTTGCTGCAGATGATTAAAATTCATTATGGCTACCTTCATAAAAACAAGTTTGACAAGGGCTGCGTTCAAGAACCTGGTTGTTGGTGTGGGAATTATTTCAGGCAGAAGTACAGATGATAGGTCTGCTTTCACATAGTCAGAGCGTTTTTAATTCATGCAAATCGCCAACAAACAGTTTTCTGACTATTTTCAGCCAATGAGATTCGTTCTGACTAGTTTGCGATTTCTGTGAGAACAGTACTGTTATGCATTTTTTTTTTTTTTGGTTGACAACTTTGACAGCCAAGTGTGACGTCATAGCCCCCCACCACTCAAGAATCTTAACCCAAGGAACTGATCGCTGAAATGATTTTGTTATAGCAGTGTAGGGTTATATTTATTATTCTTATTTGTTTTTCGCGGAATCTCTCGTTAGTTTCGTTTATCAAAGAGGGGTGTACACGAGACAGCGTTTTAAAAAAAATTTATTTGACTAATACAATAGAACTGACTTAAAACTAAAAATTACTCCTTTTATAATATAAAAAATAAGCTGAATAGAATAAAATATAAATAATATAAATGCTGAATTGGAGTTCTCACGGGATATAACAGCTTTTTTCGCAAGCTTGATTAGATTAAATATTCAGTAAATAAAAATGTCTGATAAGTATGGGTATTATTTAATTCCCTAGAACATTTTTATAAATACCAGAACTACTTTTTATAGATACGACTTTCAATCCTAATATGCTAATATCAAAGTCTATTGGAAATTGGAATAAATAAATACATAGGTACTTCTAAAAAAATCTTTGTAACACCACCAAACTTTTTTTTGGAATACTCTTCGGAACGTTAATAATAAAAATACCAAAATAACGAGTGTGCGACCGGATTGAAGCGGGTAGATTCAACCCCAAAAATAGGAAAAAAGATGCCTACTAACTTCTGAAAAAAAATTTGCCACACCACCAAACATTTTTTTTTAAATATTCTTTGGGATGTAAATAAAAATAAAATACCAAAATAACGAGTGTGTGACCTGATTGAAGGTGGTAGATTCAACCCCGAAAATGGGAGAAAGATACTAACTTCTGGAAAGAATTTTGTTATACACCACCCAACTTTTTTTTAAATGTTCTTTGGGACGTGAATAATAATAAAATTCCAAAATACCAAGTGTTTGCGACCGGGATGACGTTGGTCTAAATACTGTCATTTGTTTTTCAAAAAATGGAGAATTTGCTCACATAGATATCATCCCAAATTTATTCGTTGCAATATACCGAGCGATTCAAAAGTTAGTGGGGGGGAAAGGGCAAAGGACTTTATGTCGTCATTGTATGTCTTTTGATTGCCGTCAACTATTTTATGGCCGAGTTTGAAAGTATAGCAAAATTTTTTTTAATGAGCTATCATTTTTCCAGTTTTAATGGTTTAATCAACCCGTCTCAGTCCCTTCCTAGACATGTGATTGTCACATATGATTTTTAGATGCCATCAGCCATTTTTTAGCCAAATTTCAAGGTGAAGGTGTAGCAAAATTTTTTAAATGAGCTATCATTTTTCCAGTTTCAAGGGTTGAATTAACCCTTCTTGGCCCCTTCCTAGACATATGTTCCTCACATATGTTTTTTAGATTACCCTCAACTATTTTATAGCCAACTTCAAAAGTGTAGCAACATTTTTTGAATGAGCTATCATTTTTCCAGTTTTAAGGGTTGAATTAATCCTTCTCAGCCCTTTCCTAGAAATGTGCTTTTCACATGTTTTTTAGATTGCCCTAAACATTTTTTGGCCAAATTTCAAGGTGTAGCAAAATTTTTCAAATGAGCCATAATTTTTTCTAGTTTTAAGGGTTGAATCGACCCTTCTCAGCCCCTTACCAGACTTATCTAGTGAAATATGAATCTTGGTAGGTATAGGTATGTTAATTTCTATCTTAGAAATTCAATTTGCACCTTCGTTAATTTAAAAAAATATATATTTCCTGCAATACAATGTAAATTTCTTTTCCGTTTCTGAATCTGTAGCTAACTTCCACGACACAGTTTATGTGTGTATAATTTTAGAACCATTCTGGTTTAAGACATTTCATATTCTGCATTGGATTTGAAAACTTTCCTTCACATAATATATGTTATTAATTTTAGCCAAAGATGCTCGGCGTATAACATTGATGTACCTTGCCAATGATGTTTTACAAAACAGTAGAAAAATAACTCGTAAGTATACCTCTGAATTTCGTCGCGACATCGAAAGAGTTTTCAAATCTATGAGCAAATCTGATGAAACAACCAGAGACGAAATGAGAGGTTATTGAGGATTTGGCGAAAACGTTCAATCTTTACCCCGCTTGAGATATCTTCGTGTCAGATAACACTTGGTAAGTCTAGCCCAAACTTTCTTTATTGATGTTTAAGAACTTGCTGATTTACGAGCTGGAGAAAGGGCTAGAGGTAGAGCTGCAACCCAGTCCAGATTTGAAGAGCTAGCCACTATTGAGGTACTAAACTTGGAATATAACTAATTTTGAAATTTTGCTTCTTTCCTTTCATTCTTTTAAATTATACTAAACAAAAGATGGTGCTGTGAATGTTCCGAGGAATGTTTTTTCCAAATTCAGTAGGTACTTAATTTCATATTTTAGACTGATAATACTCCAGTCCGTCCCTTGACTCCCCCAGAATCTCGCGAAGTGATACAAGTCATGCAAGAGTTTGAGTCCAAAATAATGTCACCAATATCCCCTTTCGTCCAAAATGTGACAGAAGAGTTAGCTTTTCTAACTGAAAGGGTTCCTGATAGGTCAACTATTGCCCTCATACAAAATAGGGATGAGGCTGAAAATTTGATCTACGAAGTTCACGGTGTTATCTCAACATTGCTTCAAAAGGAGACATTATGCAGCTTCTAGTGTACGGGAGAGGAGCAATAAGTTGTTAAAAAAGATGAAGAAGTTTGTCGAGATGCAAAAAATACGGATCACGCAGAGCGTGAATTCATCCCAGGTACGAAATCCAAATATTTTTGCTCTTAATTTAACAAGTAGGTATTGCTTTCAGGCATGTGGAAAGAAATTGTCAGAGTTATCCGTGCTACAGCAAAGGCTACAAAACCATATGAAAAATTTGCCGGATATGCGTATTTACCTGACTTTCGATGAAGATCATGATGCTGATGGAATGGCATCTTTTTTGCGCCAATGCACTCTCTGATCTTGTATATGCATTTTTTTTTCCTATGGCACTCTTTTTTTCAAAACTTTCTTGAGTTTCACTGTTATTTCAAGTATTGTAGTATTTTTATTTTATCTTGATTTTTATTTTATTGTTTTAAATGTTATTATTTTAAGCTTGGAAATGTATTCTTATTTTAGCTTTATTTAATAAAAATGATTTTTGATCCTTACCAACTGTTTATTATAGGCTCTTCATAAAGAGTTTAATTTGTGTTTTATTTGGTCTTGTTTATGAAATCAGTCAAGTGACAATCGGAAAGCTGATTTGATTAACGGTACCCGATCACCAGCAGATATAATTTATTGTCTTTTATCAATCGTATTCCATTGGAGAGAGATGAAAAACGAATAGCTGTGATCGGGTTAATCGGATCAGCGTTGACGTGAAGGCCTTCTATTAGACCCGTTATCAATATCATCACCTGAATATTCACTTACTAATTCGTTGTGGAGATATTGTTTACAACTCATTCTAAATCAAAACTTCATTGGGTAAAACTTTTTCGTTTCGGTAAAAAATAGCGGTTTTTAATTCCTCCCAATTATCAAACGGAAATTTTCTTATTTTTTTCAAAGCAGAACTGTCTAGTTTCATTTTTCAAATTGCGTCCAAAACTTCAGATTCCAACGTATCTTTGACAGTTGAGTCTATGATTACTGATTCGCATTTTGACAAAAAAAGAAAAAACATTTAATTTATTTGTGTCTTTATCTCCCTCGAAAACTGGTACCATCATAATATTTAGTAAAACTATTCCTAGACATTTTCACTGGCAAAAAGGAAATACCAACAAAAATTAAAAAAGAACGGCAATCGAGTCTTACAAAAATTTATTTCTACGATATAGCTTTCTTCAAATCGCCTCATATTCCTTCCAATAGGTTTCATTGGAAACCTATTAGAAATCCCTACTAAATTACTAGTTGAAAACCCCCTAATAAATATCGGGAAAAAATACACATCTGTTCAAGCCATGAAGGATTGTTCCCACTTGCTAGGAAAAGAACTAGGTATAAGTAACACATTTTTTTTGTTAGTTTAGTCATGGTCCACCAATATTCTAATTTTAATAGTCGGGTCACTTCCTTGAAATTCTCCAAATTAGTCCAAATGCCGGCTTTATTTTACGACTTTTCTTAAAACATAACCCATAAACGAAAACATAAAATGTTGGGAAGAGATATTTTCGGCTATTTGCACCGCTAGGTACAAGGGATATTTAATCCCAGTGGCGCTTTAAATGTGATTCTTGTAGAAACAAAAGTCACATTCACAGCTCCACTTAGATTAAATATCCCTTAAGTGATAGCCGTGCAAATAGCCATTAGTGAAGCATTAGTTTTATTTAGATCTACTGATACAGGGGCCGTTCAATAAATTTGCTTTACCAGTTATTTTTGTAATTTAGTTTGAATTTGATTATTTTGAGTTTCAGAGTAGGTACCTACTAATGTTTTAGTAAATTATTGAAACTGGGAAGTGTTTAAATGGAAGGAGAGAAATATATTAGAACAAAACTACAATTCTCTCAAAATAGAATTTTAATGTATTAACAGTTAAAACGCCAAATGGCCCATGTTTCTTTTTATAGGCTTTAAACTGGAAAAAAATGGTAGATTGGTCAGTATCACATGTATTACAATAATTATTACATTTTGTTTGTAGGTAATTTGAAGATAATTTAATTGGCTTCACTCAGAGCTTAATTACATCGAAATCGGATGGAAACTAACGGAGCCGTGAGGCAAAAACTGTTTCAGTGTCATTTTTGGAAAATTTTCAATGGTCGATAATTTCAGTTTTGAAGTTGAAACGACATGAAAATCCTCATAGGTTTTTAGAGAATTTAATTAGTTTTAATTAGAGCCTGATTGTGTTGAGACCGGATAAAAATTAAAGGACCTGTGAGGTAAAAACTGTCGCAGTGTCATTTTTGGAAAATTTACAATGTCCGATAATTTAGATTTTGAAGCTCCTGACCTGCAAAACTTTTGGAACTAAATTGAAATCTCAAATGACAGGTTTGTAGAGTTTTTTTTTGGCTTTAATTAGAGCCTAAGAACATTAAAATCGGTTGAAAATTAATCGAGCTGCGAGGCAAAAACCTTCTCAGTGCTATTTTGGAAAACTTTCAATGTTCGATAAGTTCAATTTTGAAGCTTATCATATGCACAACTGCTTAAACCGAATTAAAATCCTGAGTAATAGGTATGTAGGAAATTTATTTGGCTTTAATTAGAGCTCAGTTATATTAAAAACGAATTAAAATTAACGGAGCTGTGAGTCAAAAAACTGTCTCAATTCTTGGCACAAGCTGTCCCAGTGTCATTTTTGGAAAATTTCCAATGTTCGATAATTTAAGTTTTGAAACTTGTCAGGCAAAACTGTTGGAACGAAATTGAAATCATGAATAATACGTCTGTAGAGAATTTAATTGGCTTTAACTAGAGTCTGATTGTTTTGAAACCGGAAAAAAGTTAAAGGAGCTGTGGAGCAGAAACTGTCGCAGTGTCATTTTTGGAAAATTTCCATTCCATTGTTTTTTAGAGTCACACCCCCTTTAATATGAAGGATGTATCCTCATAGATCTGTTAAAATAATATATGCAAATATTGGGAAACTTTTACTTTGGTCAAGTTTTTCCTATGTCTTTATTTTTTTTACTCCTTTTTTACCTGATTTTCTAGATCCCATATTCTTTGTACCTATTTATGTTGTCTCAGCAAAAAAATATATCTTCTTATTTTCATAATTAATATTTTTATATGTATACAGTGCGATTTTTTAAGTGTGCAACATATGGGAAATTTTTTTAGTAAAAGCACAACCCAAATACAAACAAGGCCAAAAGTTGGTTTATATTCAACACAACTTTAAAATGTCGCTATTTTTTTTTTAACAAGTTAAAACATTCCTAATGATAATAGCCATATTAAAAAAACTCTCCTTAAAGTGCAAAAGTTTTATTTTATTTAAGTAAATATTTCTACAATTTTGATATTTTTTGAGCTACCCTGTATGCTGTTTGACTTGCAACCATTCTAAGTGCACTTCATATGATTATCAGACATGCACCAACTTTGGCCTTGTTTGTATTTTGATTGTGCTATTACTGAAAAAAAAATCCCATATGTTGCACACTTAAGTAATGACACTGTATACATATTATCCTTAAATCTAGTAAAGTGGAATTCGAGCTTGGCAGTGGCGTAACTACAGGGAGGCCGGCCTCCCCCCCAGACGTAGCTAGCCCTCCCCCCCCAGAAAAAACTTCAATAATTTAGTATTTTATTAAAGGTACGTTACCTATCATAATAATTTTATGTTATTACCTACTAAATTTGAACGGTAATGCGCGGCGATCCCGATCGACCCGATCCAATCCTCCTATCCATTAGATCCGATCCTCCGATCCACCAACGAACGGTACTGTGTGCCATTGTGCCACCCCAAGGTCAGTGCAAATTGCAATGTGCAGAAGTGATACAGTATACCAAAGCCTCTGAATTAGCATTAGCAATGTAACAGATTATTTTGGGAGTTTGACTATATATTTTTCCTATGAATCCGTGAATCGGTGTTGCTGATACCTATTATACTACTTATATAGTGACCGTTGAAATCAATTACTGAGTCATGCGAGTCCCACAAAAATTTTTACATATTTTTAGAATGTTTGTCAGGTAAATAAATCAGTCTGTAAATACTTTAGGTATATTAATTCAGGGTCAGTTTTTTGTTTATTCATCTCCTGATAAACCTACTGGTAACTATCTACAAGATAAATTTACCCATCAATAGTAATCCGATTGGTCAACGAATATTTGGCCGACCAATAGGATTATAGATTGCGTTTTTATCCGTCTGATAATTTACCTGATAGTTTATCAGAAGGTGAATAAACCGCGGCTCGTTGTTATAACAAAGATATTTAACTTTATAATTTGAATTGTTCAATTGCACGCAAAAACACGTCTTTTTCTAAGAGCATTTGAAATATCATTTCTTCTGCACTGGAATCGTATGTAGTCTCACGTCAAACCAATAGCAGAGCTTTCTCGTGCATACCCCGGGAATTTGAATTCGGGACAACTTTAAAACCAGAAATCTATTTCGTAAATCGAAATTATTCAAACAAATTGAACATTTCTTAAAATTTTTAGAATCTTTATTCATTTTTTACTGCACCGGATAGTTCGCTCGAACCTCTCTGTCGCATATTTCCATCCGCATCAAAATTTCGCTTTTCAAGGTCGCCAACCGTCATTCAGGCCAGATTTTTCGCAGACAACCCTATATCATCGTGTTCGCAATAAAATAACTTTTTTTTTGATATAAGATTTATTCATTAAACAGATGGGGTGTGAATTACTAGTATCGACTCACCTGTTCAAACCTGCCAACCCAATAGTTATAGCAGGAAAAAAAATAGACAACCCAACGTTTCTATATTCTTTAGGCCCTATACTTTGGATTAGTATGAAATTTGTTCGTTAAGCAAATGAGTGCAATGCCTTTAACAATTATAATTTTTGAATTATTTATTAATAATAGTCTGGCCAGGAATTTTTTAGCCAACCCACAAGTGATTTTTTTTTTAACATACTAACTTTGATATAAAATAATTTTTACTCATTAAACAGATGGGTGCTGATCCTTTCCTATTCGAATCTTA